ACTCAAACCCCTCCACCACAATAAGGTGGCGGTTCAAGGAGGGTTGTAAGTCACTTTTGGCTTTTCCCCATTTAGGGGTCGCCGCAGCGAATTGTCACACTTATGACTCGCATGTTGACATTTGGCACATTTTACGCCAGATGCCCTTCCTGACGCAACCCTGACTCGAACCCGGGCTGCAGTAGCGAGAGCGCTGTGCCTTAACCACTAGCCTACCAGGGATGGCATTGTATTCAGCTCCCAGGGTAAATAAATTCAGCTCCCAGATAAATGGCAGAAAGGCTAATGTGTTCAGAAAGAGACTTTGAAGGGAAAAACAACATAGGCCTTTATGTCTTTTTGTTTCACCCCTCACTGACTTCCCTCTTTTGAGTGAAGTATCAATACACAAACACAAAGGACACAAAAGACATAAAGGTCTATGTTGCCGTTTCCTTTCAAAGTCCCCTTTTGAACGCATTTGTATTGAGTTTCCAGATAAATGGAGTAAAAAAGCTGCACTTACATGGAGGTCACAGCGCTCTGCCAGATGTATTGTATGAAGAATCACTTACTTTGTTGTCTCTCAGGCATAAAACATGACTTCAAGCAGAGGTTTTTTGCTTCTTGGCAAACCCCTCCACATTCCAGGTGTGTAAAGAGCCGCTGAAAGAAAGTGAGTCCTCAAAGAAAACATGTTTATCTCATTTAATTGGATGCAAGATTGTTTAAAGGTGCTCTCTTCCATGAATTATATTAAATAAAGCCTTTTTTTGGATTGTGCATTATGTTGGGACTAGTGCCAAGAAGATTGCAACTTCCTTTATCAACAAGTAAACAACTTCTACCATGTTTTCCTTATGGGAAACAAGTAAGGCCTGTTTTCTGTTACAGTATAGACACTGGCTTCCCTCCACCTGGCCTTTCCTCAAACCAATACCAAAGCTACGTTTGGCAGGCCAGTGGAAACAAAATGATTTGATGTATGTAAAGGCACTTATTCAGACAACGATGCTACTTTATGACAAAGGTCAGATCGTTAGGAATGGAATTGGGTCACTGTTGCTTTCTTTGTTCATCAGACATCGGTCTTTCAGTACTCTGTTAGTACATCTCAGTTAGATGAGACAAGGCTCTGGCAGCATCTCAGCGTATCTGCATCCATAAAACCTTTGCATGTCATAATACCTGTGAGAAAAATATGAGAAAACAAGTCCAGGTAATATATTTGTGACTAATAGTCTAAAATATGTTTTAATGATAAATTAATTTATAATATACATTGTGATGTTGTAGTTATGGACGTGTATGTCATTTAAAAATGTTAAACTTTGTTTTGGACACTACTGTAGCAGACAGCCACCGACACATGCAACGTATTCACAGCATTGATGTTGCCTAGAAACCAACAGCAGGTAAAACTGGCTCAATGGACAGTAACACTGAAGTGCCACTATAATAGTTTTCCCTGCTCGTGTCCATAGGTCAGGAATAATTGAACCTATTATTCTTATTTGTGTGCAGCAATGTCACTAGCAGAGAGAGATGAGGCGTTGCTCCTCCAGCCTGGTTAGCGCTGCATGATCAGAGATGAGCTTGATGGAAGCGTGTTCATTGAGATGAACAGAGACGTAGGTGGTACATTAGTGCAAGTTGGTGCATAGTCAAAATAATTGTTGATTAAGGTGCATCCAGGAATAACAATACATTTGGATATTAACAGAGGTTTATTTTTTCACCTTGGAATTAGTGACAGACAAAACAACCTCAACCCAAATTTTCACTTAATAGCTTTTGTGGGATCTTTCACAGCCAGAGTTGGCCACGTTTTGTCAAACGACGATTTCCAAGGTCAAGAATGAACTTTCATGTTTAAACAGAGTTCTCACCAAATTGTTTTGTGTATCCCTGAATGCATCCTTATTTTATTTTTACTTTATTTTATTTTATTTTTTCCAAGCATGTAAAGATAAAATAGCATTACAGAAATAAAATTGTGAGAAAAGAAAAAAAAACTAAAGAAAAAATAATGCATATACAATACAAGAAAAAGAACTAGTAACAATATAAAGACAAAATAGTATACAATTCAATCATATCACATTCATAAAGTACATTACAGACACTACCACCATTACATGCTTGAAAGGGAGTAGAAAGAAATACACACTTATCTAGTTCTACCCCCTTTCTTAGACCATGGTATAGTTATGTCAGCGCCATCAAACTTGCCAACAACCACCAAGCCCCCTGAAACCGCCAAGGACCATCCCTGACATGCACCCGACATCCAGCACCAAACAACCTACACCACGGTCACTCCACTTGCACTCTAATACAAATTCGTCATTATCCTGAACGTCTGAATGCATCTTTGAATGTGTTGAAAGGACAAAACATTTGCAAATGTTTTATTATATTTTGCAACCTGCATTGTTTCCCTGGACCAGCATTCTTCATTTTCCCTGCCTTTTATTAGCACTTTCCTGTTTCTTAGCATCTTACTGCCACCACTTGTTCAAGCAGTGAAAACGCATGAAACTGATGGACATCATGTACAGCAGTTCACATGCACTACTGATCCAGCAATTGTCAGGAAAAGGAATTGCATGCTCATGGATCACAAGATATGGCCCTTATACATAGTAAAGGAGATGTATTACTAGAGCCCGTTTCCAGTGTGTTGGTCTTGTGGAGCAAGAAGTGACTGCTAATAATGTCTTCAAAAAGGAAAGTGGAGCTGTCTAATGTAACATGGTGAAGACATTGCATAAGACATTATTAGAAACTGTGTATGCATGTTTAACAAATAGACAAAATAGAATAACATAACACAGAGACAGTGGAAGGAAATGCATGTTTATCATTTTAGAAATTAGACTAGAATCATGAAACAAATTGCATCTTATGAGTGTCAGATGAGAATGCACTTCTGAAGCACCCCCACTGACTTCTGATCCCCTGCCTTCAAAAATATTGCACAGTTCCCTGGAACACAATTTGGTGCTAAGCATTGCCTCTGTGTTAGTATGAGCTTTCACTACAAGTAATTTCCATAAAACATACCAGTGATTTTCCATGTTTGTAATATTGTTTCATTTGGCACTTTCTTTGTCTGCTTTGTTTTTGTTCAAATGACTATGAAAAGAAATGATGCTAAGACATTACTATCTCTGTTTTGATGAGGCTGGCAGCGGTGGGACTCAGGTCTTTTATGGATTGCATTTTTTCTAAATTGCAAAAGCAGAAGTGATGGTCAATCAAGACCCCTCTTTTTGTAAATTGTATATAGCTAAAGAGTTTATTCACAATGCTCATAGCAGTCAGGTCAATATTACAAGAGCAGGTGCAAATGTACGTAACACTGTTTTATACTCTGTACTCTACTTGCGTGTGTTTGTTTATAAGTTTTAACAAAAATGTATAACATGACGTTTGACTACAAACTGCAGTATATCTTTGATGGCTAATTGTAGTACATCACAGAAAGGTATAATGTTCTTCTATAGTAAGTAACAGTGCTTGAGCGATTGATGAATGTTTTTGAAATGCCTCAAAATACATGAGCACATCCCCAGAAAGAACATAGCTTTGCTTCTGGAAAACATTCCAGAGGCAGACTTCAGCTTGAAGGATTACTGTAAGGTGCTGTTTACTGCAGAGTGGTGAGGGCAGTAACAGAGACGATGTCTGACCAGCCCCAACTTCACCCTCTGGTGGGACAGATGGGAATGGAATCTGGGCCTGTTGACAACCATTAATCACACGCATTCACAGTTCAAAACCAGCACCAGTCTGGCCATGGGGTGTGACTGATTTATGTTATCCCCTTACTGCATCACACAAAAAGCACACTATGCGTGTGTTTGTGTGCACAGACAAATGCAGACACATAAGTATTATTATACATACTATATTTGTACTATCCCTAAGGCAGCACATGCGTGCACACCAGGAGATGCCTTGTTTTTCCATGTTAGAGGTCAGATGGAGTTTCTGCCTAAAGATTCTCAGTAAGCTGGTGACACCTGCTGGCCAGAGACTAAAACAAAAAGCACAGACAAATGCAAACCTGATCATACATTCAGAGTAGGGGTTATTTCACGTGGTTGCACATATGCACAGTCATTTTAGCCTAAAGTTATTTTTACCTACAAATCTAAAAGGGTGCAAAATAAATTTGCAGTCTGTTACACTCAATAACAAGGCTGCTGTTTATTTAAAGTATATTTAGCAATTACAACAATCCAAAACTATTTATCTTTGTAATACAAGATTTTAGAGTTTGACCAGTCATTTCTCATGTGGATTAAGTCTTTTGTAGTTAGTAAGTGTTGATGTGATTACACCATGACTAAGGTAACTGGTGCTCAGTGATCAAAGGCTGTGACCTTTAGATGATTAGATCCAGCTGTTCCAGGGGGCGATTGGTGCTTTTTCTTAACCTTCTTATGTTTTGCAGCCTGGAGACAGCAATACTTTAGCAGCTTGATGCTGTATGACTTTTCCTATTTTTTTTAAAGACAACTTCTTATTAATCGGATTTTAAACTAATGACGTATGTCGGACGTTCATTCCAGAAAATTATCCCTTGACAGTTTTGTTAGGTTACAGTGGCCATGTGTGATTGGTGTTGACAGAATTTTTTTATGCATCTCTACCCTTGCCATATGACAAATACTTCTATATGTGTGAATAAAGGTCCATTCTTCAGAGCATGGCTCAGCCCTTATGGCCGTACCAGGCCTGGCTGCTCCTCGCCCAGGAGGTAATATCCACTCCGGGATTAAGCACCTTTGACCTGCAGCGCTGTCAACAATAAGCCGCTCAGTTTTAGATGCCACTGCGGTCAAATCCACCAGCAGCAACCGGTTTGTCACATGACTATAGTGCTGAGCTGCCTGTCTGTGTGTCTGTGGCTTTTGTTTCCGTGTTCACCGAGGTAGTGTAGAGCTGAATGACTTTACTGCCGCTGTGCGTCTTCCTTTCACCGCGTCGCCGTGCGGGGATCTGTCGGGCGGGCGGAGACTCACGCAATCGCATCGCCTGGACCCACGCTGTCTCAGGACCATGCTCACGCGGGTGAAATCGGCGGTGGCCAATTTTATGGGAGGCATGATGGCTGGCGGCTCCAACGGAGACCACCCTGGCGGCTCGGATCTGCCGCTGAAATTCCCGTACAGCAGACCGGAGTTCCTAGGACTGTCGCCGGATGAAATCGAGTGCTCGGCGGATCATATTGCGAGACCGATCCTCATATTGAAGGAGACCAAACGTCTGCCGTGGTCCACCGGCTATGCAGAGTGAGTAACCTGTATGCGTCCATCTTTTTCTTGCAGCGCACACAGCATCCTTTGGAAGAGAGCGCGTCCTTCCTGGACCACTCCAAGGTGCCGTTTGTTATGTCAGTCTCTGTATATTCATCTTTATCTTAAAACGGGCTAAGGTGCAGCTGGCCTTTGTCCGTGTATTATTTCAGTATAATAGCCTACATTACAGGAGCTTCCTGTGGGGATGTCAGGAATATAGCAAGCACGTAAAATGTCTCTACCAGCACAAGTTCGCTATAATCTAGTCTCCATGGGCCTAACGCAAGGCAGAGAAGCTTTGCCAGTGGTTAAGGTTGTGTGTATACTTTAATATTGATAGATTTCCTGTGTATTTTGGTTAAAGCTGGTAAAATGTGACCATATCCTTGCATGAACCCACAGCAGTCACTTGTAGATTAGCAGCTTTGCAGTATTTACTCAGTCAGTGTTTGCCCAGCCAGACACTAAAAGTCATTCTCCTCCTACATGTTGGCACCCAGACCTCATCTGTTGTATTATTGATATCTCATCTCATGTTTATCTGCACAGAGTCATTTTGGCTCCCAGCATCCTCCTTCCAAGGCAGTTATAAGATGCTGTGTTGTATTTTAAATGGACAACAACATTTAGTGCTGTGGTTTGACTCATGAAAAGCTAAGTGGTTACTTTCGAAACTGTTGTGCAGTGATGGCAACATGCAAACTTGGTGACACATTTTGCCAGCTCCTAGAGGCAAGAAACAGGAGGGGGGATTGTGTATTTGCTTTGTTTGCATACAGGTAAGAGCAGTGTGCAAACCTGAGCCACACAAACAAACCAGTTTAATTTTTAGCACATTTACATTTACGCTGACAGGATACAGATAAAAAAATATGATGTCTAATGGTGTCTAATGCCTGAGAGCACAGTCACAATCATTTCTGCATGTTCTGTTGGCTAGTGAGGCTGTCTCATAACTGTAGAGGTTACGGTTCAGTCCTCCTAGTCATCCTGCTGTGAACCCAACTTACATTAATGTGAGCAAATACTTGCTTTTCAAGTCAGCCGGGGCTGCCTGCAGCACGATTTCGACACAACTGACCCGTCCAGTCTCGCTCCCTCAGGCAACTTGGTGAAAAATAAACAAGACAGAGTAACATGGTTTCTCCTCCATACCCCCCCCGACTGTCTATGAGTAAGCCTCTCTGAGCATGATAGGGTTACCCTAGGTTATTGTGCTGCTTCCAGTGGAGACAGTTCTGCTTTATGTAGAGGATTCTGCTGCACTGTCTCCAAGTGCATGCACTGCCAGGTCCAGTGAGCACGATCATTTGAATGGATCAGTGAGGATTGCTCACTGCAGCGTGTGTCACTCTTTCTTCTCCAGTACACGTACAGGCCTCAGTTTACTGCAGAGGTTTCAGTACATGTGCTGCTGCTCTATTCGTTTTTTCTCATCATGTACACACTGACACTGATCACTAGTCAGTCTCTCTTTGGGGCTCAGTTAACTATTCATTTGCAGTGCATCGATGTTGCATGTTGCTTGGAATTTCCAAAAGTAAAGATGAGGGAAGCCTCTTCTGATGGTATCGTCAGTGGAGTTGATGCTGTTGTGCTCTCTCCAAGAAGTCTTTTTTGGTTTTGAAGGGTTTGACCTTGGCTAGAAGTGGGCTTTAACTTAGCGTGGTCTTCAGGATAAATGAAGGCTTGTCGTTCCACCACTGGACAGAAGACAAGCCAAGTCAAGTTCAATGCAGTTCTTTCCTAATGTACTGTAGCTTGAAGAAGAGATTCATCAAGAATTCTTAGAGCCACTTCATTAACAGGAGAGTTCCAGTTTTGATGATGGAGTAACAAAAACAGTCCAAATGAACCTTACATTCTCTTGGCTTCTCCCCTCCTCCACTTCTTTACTGTCTCCACCTCCTCCAGCCTACTTATTGGCAGAAGACAGTAGTGGCACTGGAATAGGAAAGAAATGAAAAGTTGTGACAAAGCTTATCCGCTAACTCAGTGACCCCTGCAACCTCAGCAGCAGCAGCCCAGATCAATACTTAATCAATATGTGTGTCTAGCACTGTCACGGCACACTGTATGTTTTGTCTGAAGCTCTATTAAAGGTGTGCATGTTCAGCA